AAAAAGCAGGATACACAGTGTTAGTCACATCATTATTATAACCATGGGTTTGACAAATATAAATTAAGTAAAAATTATGAAATAAAATATATCAAGTAGCACTACTAATTGCATTTTCGTTGTTAACAATAGGGCAATAGTGCTGGGGATGATTACTTTTAATTATCTATTTTCCAAAATAATTTGAATACACTTATCACAACTCTCACAATGGGAAAAAGTAAACAAACTTTTTTTTGAGATGGAGTCTCACTCTGCCACCCAGGTTGGAGTGCAATGGCACAATCTTGGCTCACTGCAACCTCCGCTTCCAGAGTTCAAGCGATTCTCCTGCCCCAGCCTCCTTTGTAGCTGGGATTATGGGCATATGCCACCACACCCAGCTAATTTTTGTATTTTTAGTACAGACAGGATGGTTGGCCAGGATGGACCTGAACTCCTGACCTTACAATCCGCCTGCCTCAGCCTCTCAAAGTGCTGGGATTACAGGCTTGAGCCACTGCACCTGGCCAAAAGTAAACACACTATTTAAAAGTAAATTACATAGCATGGATTAAAACTTAATAACACAAGTTTCCTAGAAGGCAAGGGGGAAAAAAAAACCTCTCATTATTTCTGTATGTTCATATCTGCCTTTAAATCAAAACATGCCTTAGTAAATCCATCACTTAGAAAGAGTGATTCCAAGCTGTGAATACAATAATTTAAAAACTACAAATAGGCTGAAGGAAAAAAAAAGTGTCTTTTAAGAAACATGGATATGCATTCCATATTAAAATAGCTATAATTTCATAGAAGTTTTTGTTTGTTTGTTTTTGACACTGAGTCTCACTCTGCTGCCCAGGCTGGAGTGCAGTGGCGTGATCTCGGCTCCTGCAACATCCACCTCCTGAGTTCAAGTGAATCTCCTGCCTCAGCCTCCAGAGTAGCTAGGACTACAGGTATGCACCAGCACATCTGGCTAATGTTTTGTATTTGTAGTAGAGACAGGTTTCACCATGTTGGCCAGGCTGGTCTTGAACTCCTGACTTCAAGCAATCCACCCACTTCGGCCTCCCAAGGTGCTGGGATTACAGGCGTGAGCCACCGCACCTGGCCTCCTAGAAATTTTTAATAAAACTTTCTTGAATTAGTCATTTTTGAGTGCTGACATTATATGGCAACTCCAAGCTAGATACAATTTGTACTTCTCAAAATATAAATGATCTAGTTAAGAATATGAATAGAAATGGTTTTAAAACACATAAATATCAACTAAGTACCAACTATATGTGTGTGTACCATCCATATTCTCTTAACATAAATATTAAACATAATATATATATATGCATGTATGTGTATATAATAAACTTAAATAACCAATAGCAGTTCAAACCTACTTTACTTAGATTTTTTTTTTTTTTTTTTTTTGAGACAGAGTCTCACTGTCTCACCAAGGCTGGAGTGCCGTGGCCTGATCCTGGCTCACTACAACTTCCGCCTCCCAGGATCAAGCAATTCTCCTGCCTCAGCCTCCCGAGTAGCTAGGATTACAGGTGCACACCACCACGCCCAGCTAATTTTTGTATTTTTAGTATAGATGGGATTTCACCATGTTGGACAGGCTGGTCATGAACTTCTGACCTCAAATAATCCACCTGCCTCAGCCTCCCAAAATGTTGGGATTACAGGCATGAGCCACTGCGCCTGGCCAGATCTTTAATATTCTTATTTTCTTCTTTAATTACACTCATCAATTGAAGCAAATAACTTGCAATAAAATCATATTTTCCTTTTGTAGTAGAATATACAAAAAACCTAAAGTACTGTAGGCACACTTAACAGTTCTCTTAAAAATCCGAATCCAAATGTATACACTCATGTTTTTAAAACTGTCTTGAATTTTGTCACAAAGAGCTGTTAGAAAACAGTTTTTATCCACAAATTTTTCTCCTAGTTATTATACTCAACAGTTCAGTTTGGAGAAAAATGTAAGGTGATCACAGGGGAACCCACCAAACCTGCCTAAGTCCGTGTATCTAGGATACTGGTGGTTTCTGATACCTTAGATCAACATTTTCTTCTAAAAGAGAATAATACCTCAAATGATCTCCCTTAGTTTCAATGGCTCCTTACTGCTTCCCAAATAAAACCCAAACTTCTTCACACAGTATTGCAAGGCCCTCCAGAATCTGATCTCTAATTATTTTTCAGCCCTGTGCTAAAAAACAAACAAACAAACAAACAAACAAACAAAAAACACCTTTTTCTGCCACCCAGGGAGCACCATGAGCAAAGGTCCAAATGGCACACTTCCAGCCACTAGGATTTTTGCTCACAGTGCTCCCTCCACCCTGACAGATTGCTCAAGATCATACTAAAGGTCCCTTCACCCACAAAGCGTTGCTGAGCTCCTTGCTCTCACTTGGTTCTTTCTTCCTCAAGCCTGCCCACTCACCACCTGGCACTGAAAAGTACTCTACACACACTTGCTTCTTAAATGCCCAAGTCCCAGGGCCAATGGTGATCATTTTAGCCCTTGGCATATTCAGCGACAGAAGAATGGGAGCTGGGGGCCTCTACCTGGAATCAAACCCAGACACCTGCCCACCTGGCTTTCAACCTTGGCTTCCTCCGCCCTCACATTAGGTCTATCCTATTTATTAACCATTTTTTTCCTTTGTGAGAAAAAGCACTTTAAGATCTTAGCAAATTAACAGAAAAAGAAATTAACTTCTTATTCATTTTCATTACTTGATTTCCCCAAGGAAGTGCAAAACTAATGAGAGGACACAAAGAGAAGTGAAAGAGGCTTTGAGGTGCTTAGTCACTTTAAGTGGCTTCAAGAGCTGATGGAATTTGTTTTTCATCATGTCTAATTTCACATCAAAACTTATTTATAAAAGGAAAACCATGTCATATAGCTCATAACCTTATGAGCTATGAATAGAATTGAACATGGAGGGAGACTGGCAAAATGCATAAACACATTTCTTTTTCTTTTTTTTAGAGACAGGTTTTCACTATGTTGGCCAGGATGGTCTTGATCTCTTGACCTCATGATCAAGGCCCACCTTGGCCTCACAAAGTGCTGGGATTACAGTGTGAGTCACTGTACCTGGCAAGATAAACACATTTCTAAGAAGGCAAGAGCAACCAGAGATGAAGGAAGTGAGTACATAAGAGCCTGGATTAACTGAGAAGGAATCAAAAGAAGTGACAATGATGATAAAATTAACAAAGAAGGCCACAGGGCACCCCTGAGAGCAGGCTCTCGCTGTGCATCGTCAAACCAAGCTCAGCACTGCCTAAATGCTTGACGAACGCATTGAACAAATGCATTTCTCCTTAGTTCCAACATTTGCGGGCTTCAAATGTTTCATGCATTAGGCACCTGGGCTTTTGTACACAGATATCCTCTGCCTGTGACCGTCCTCCCCCAGGCTCTGTCCTTCACCTTGCTGACTCCCACTCAACCTTCAGATTGCAGCTCACATGCTTGGCATTGTTCCTCTGGAAAGTTTCCCAGCTCCCTTTTTGCTCTCTGAGTATCATTCTTTTTTTTCAAATGCTTATTGTAGTTTGTGATTATATATAGTCATGTGTTGCTTAACAACAGGGATACGTTCTGAGATGCATCCTTAGGCAATTTTGTTGTTGTGCAAACATCATAGCGTATACTTAGAAAAACCCAGATGGTGTGGCCTCCTATACACCTAGTCTATATGGTACAGCCTATTGGTCCTAGGCTATGAATTTGTATAGCATGTTACTTTACTGAATACTGTTGGCAACTAGAATAAAATCACTAGGAAATAGGAATTTTTTGGCACCATTATAATCTTACGGGACTTCTATCATATAGTTGTCCATCACTGACCAAAATGTCACCAGGTGGCATCTGACTGTAAATACATAATCAGTTCTTCAAAGTGCAGACGGTATGCTCCATGAGGGCAGAGATGGGTACATTTTTCTCAGTACCACTGTATCATCCCTAGAACTAACAAAATGCCTGGCACATAGCAGGCATCTCTGAAGCGTTTGTTACATGAATGAATGAAGGGTTTAAATATTAGTTGACTTCATGACTAGTTGAGCTTCCCACGTACACCAAAATCCAAAACTCCCAGAATGGCTTTTCCTTGCCTCTCCAGTCCCCTACATAGACACCCTCTACATGTGCAACCTGCAGATCTTGCAATGTACCACATCCTCTCATTACCTCCATGACCCTCCTGTGATGTCCTCACTTTGAAATTCCTTTCCCTGCCTAGTCTTCAGGACTCAGCTTCGGCAGTCTCTTCTGGAAGCCCCTCCTCGTCTCTCCCTCAGACTGGATTAGGTGCTTTTCTACTGTACACTCCTAACGTGTTCTGTCATAGAACTTACCTTATGTATTTATCATACTATTTATTCATATGGTTACTTGTATGTTTCTGCCATTACACTGAGTTAATCAGGGATCCAGCTAATAGTCATATGTTGATGTTATATGTGTATATTTCTGCCTTTTTTTTGTTTTTGTTTTTGTTTGAGATGGTCTCACTCTGTTGCCCAGGCTGGAGTGCAGTGGCACAATCACAGCTCACAGCAGCCTTGACCTCCCAGGCTCAAGTGATCTTCCAACCTCAGCCTCCCAAGTAGCTGGAGTTTACAGGCGGGAACCACCACCCCCAGCTTATTTTTTTTTTAATTTTTTTTGTAGAGATGAGGTCACCCTATGTTCCCCAGGCTCGTGTCATACCTTTTATAAAATATGCTTGGCACAATGTCAGACACATAGACATGTACCTGTTATACAATCTTGGTCTCTGCTGGATGAACACATTGAGTAGCCATTTTACAAACAGAAAAGAGTAGGTCAGATCACATCATGAACCAAAAGACACTTAAAGGAACTATATACGCTATGACTGAGTGTTGAATTAACTTTTTTATGATATGCAAAAATTACTTCAATCATATACAAATGTTGAAAAACAAAGCAAGAGACGCTTAGGAAAATGCCAAACACTTACAAGAAGCATCAACATGAAGGATCCCATATAGATGATCAGGAAAAACAATGAAATCATAGTTAGAGTGAGGATTCCACGTATCCACCAGTTTTTCCACCTACAAAGAAAATGTAAAGTTAGGATTTAATGTGTTCTTAAGGTTTTCTGTGTGGTTTCAGTATTGATTTGCCAGATTTAGAAATTTTCCTTAACTATACTTTAAGATTCCACTACTTCACTTTATTTAATAACAACAAACAACAACAACAAAAAAACAAAACAGCATTCATTCACACACTGGGAGATAAACTAACTTTTAAAGTTATATTAGCCAAGAAAGAAAATAATTTTTGTTAAATGTGAGTGGGGAATAAATCGTGAGGTTAGGAGTTAGGTGGTCATGGTGGATGTGAAAGTCACACATCCCACCAGGGATCACATGAAGGGGAAGAACGGGCCAGGTACAAAAGCCCTCAAAAGAGATGATGCTCAGTTAGGATGGTAGATGAATACAGTAATGATTTTAAGAAGATGGTAGAGACAGCACGGACTGCCAATGAGAAAAAGTAATGAAAGATAATACCGAACTAAAACAACAGTGATTTCAGTGAAATGAAGGAGTGAGGTGCCAGTTACCTAAGAAGTCAGCCACTGAGGATAAAGACAGATGGATGGACCCTTCTACTACTTAGTGTACTGCCTGCTTTATTTGATTAGGGGCAAAGCCTTTAGTAAAAGTATTTTCTTATTCTTGGGTCTTTCTTTGTGCCTCAGAGCAGAACCTTCCTGCTGGTACAGTGGCTGGTCCCTGCCATGCTGAGATTTGATATCTCCCAACCCTCACTGTAAGGACCAGAGATGCCTGACCATACCCCACCACCGCCATGAGCCTCACACTGCATCCCTAGTGTCCCATACAAATATCACTCCTTGTGTGAACACCACACATATGGTGTCATAAAAAATGTTGGCACTCCTGTATGAAAAGTTCAGAATAACTTAAATACATGGATGTTGATTTCTGAATTTTCCTATATACAAATGACAACTTCTACATCTGAAATTGTTGTTTTTCTTTAGGATTTTTCTGATTTTTATTAACTGAACTGGTAGCATTTAAATTATGTTACAAGAGATTTTGATTCAACTTAAAGACTAGTAACATATATGCACTGTATTCTAAGCACGGGTCCTCACTCCTCTTTTTTTAAAAAAATACAGAGTCGGCCGGGCGCGGTGGCTCAAGCCTGTAATCCCAGCACTTTGGGAGGCCGAGGCGGGTGGATCACGAGGTCAAGAGATCGAGACCATCCTGGTCAACATGGTGAAACCCCGTCTCTACTAAAAATACAAAAAATTAGCTGGGCATGGTGGTGCGTGCCTGTAATCTCAGCTACTCAGGAGGCTGAGGCAGGAGAATTGCCTGAACCCAGGAGGCGGAGGTTGCGGTGAGCCGAGATCGCGCCATTGCACTCCAGCCTGGGTAACGTGAGTGAAATTCCGTCTCAAAAAAAAAAAAAAAAAAAAAAAAAAAAAATACAGAGTCTTACTATCTTGCCCGGACTCGTCTCCTGGGCTTAAGTGATCCTCCTGCCTTGGCCTCCCAAAGTGCTGGGATTTCAGGTGTGAACCACCCCAGCCCTCATTCCCTCATTCCAAGAAATATTTGCCGCCTTCGTAAGATATGGAATTGTTTGAGCCCAGGAGTTTGAGGCCAGCCTGGGCAACATGGGAAAAACCCAACTCTACAAAAAATGCAAAAATTAGCTGGGCGTGGTGGTGTTCGCCTGTGATCCCAGCTAGTTGGGGGAGGAGGGGGTGTCAGGGAGCTGAGGTGGAAGGAACACTTGACCCTAGGAGGTCAAGGCTGCAGTGAGCCATGATTGTGCCACTATACTCCAGTGTGGGGGAAACCGTGAGATACTGTCTCTAAAGAAAAAAGATAACATTCCTTGCTTTCAACAACTCTCAGATATAGCTTAAATACTACCAACTAAACACCATTTTCAAATACTCCTTTTATCATGTCATTTCTGCACACAGGATCTAAAATACCAACAACATACATTTTTTTTTCTAGCTTCCAAGTTTCTTTATAAGGTAGTCAAATTGCACTCATTCAACTTTATTTCCCTCCACGTTTAACAAACTACGTAGACATAAACTTCTCATGCAAGCATGAGCATGGGGCAGAACTAAAAGTGAGCGTAGAGTCAAAAATGCTGTGGCTGAAAGGCTCCATGTAGTTGCACAGATATAACTAACTGTGGATTAACGGATGGATTAGGAAACTGGGCTAGGTCCCTAATCTAGTCAGAGGTAAATAAAGGACCATAAGCCAAGGCAAAATTGTGCCTCTACAAAATACACAAAAATTAGCCAGGCATGGTGGCTCATGCCTGTAGTACCCGTCACTTGGGTGGTTAAGGTGGGAAGACTGCTTGAGCCTGAGAGGCAGAGGTTGCGGCGAGCCAAGACTGAGCCACTGGACTCCAGTCTAGGCAACAGAGCAAAACCATGTTTAATAAAAAAGTAAGGCGAGGGCATAAACTTGACCAAGCAATTTCCCTTTTAGGACTTTATCTTATGGATATTAAAGCAAAGTTTGCTACAAAGAAAAAGTCCAATGTACAGGTATTTTTAATTGTGAAAATTTAGTAATAAACTGAATGCCCAGCAGTAGGTGGTGAGTTGGATAAACTAGACTATAGCCACATAACAAAGTATATCATATAGACATTAAAAACGTTCCTGAAAAGTATTTAGGAGCATGAAATGTTGTTCCTAATAATACCACCGAATAAAAATGAAAACAGTAAGGTAGAAAACAGCACAATCTATTTTTGCTTTACACACACACACACACACACACACACACGAAAAAAGCTTCAAAGAGTAAACACCAAAGTATTCTAAATATTAATGTCTTGGCAGGAGGACTATAGGATTTTTTTTTCCTGCAGGTAATGTACATTTCTTATGTAATTACTATTTTCAGTTCTATGTATCTACAAATTCTAAGCCTTTGCAAGACAGTCTATTTTCAATATTAGATTAAAAACAGAATAAAAATGTATAAAACAGATTTTGTAACATTCATGTAATCTTTGTAGAGAAGTTTCTTGAGAAGGTTGAAACCATTATACCATCCATTGTTCGTTTTCTAAAACCAATCCACTTATGAATATCATAGATAAAAATACATACATTGAAGCCACAGTAACTAGTTTAGAATGTGGTTCCATAACTTACTAGCTACATGATCCTTGATATATAATATCTGCCTACGTTTCCACATTTAAATACTTGTGTTATGAGGATGCCATGAGAATATTAGTCAATACATATAAAGTGCCTGAGGCAATGCTAGCACATAGTAAATGTTAAATAAATATTTGCTGCTGGTATTTGCTATTGTTACTTTACATCAGAAAAAAAAAATTCGTGATTAAGGAAGATCTTACTATGAATGACACACACGAATCCAACATTATTTTCACAGAATATCAACTACACAAAATTTCAGGTCTGAGATAGACTTGATGAGATTTTAACGCAAAGTTACATCTGCAAACTAGGTCATGAAAACAACTGGGAACAAGAACTATTAAAATAATCATGCTTTTAATAGTAGATCAAAGATGTGTTCTATCAGTTTAAAAATACGACAATGTTGCTTTTAACCAACGTATCCTAAAATGGTTATCCCCTACAAAGTAAAAAAAAGAAAAACATATTACATTTACTAGATATGACTAAACTATTGGTTTTCAGACTGCAGGCTATGAACCAAGGATAAAAAATCAATTGAGTAAGCTACATGCAGAATTTTTTGTTCAATAACATAGGATAGCATCAAATAGAAAAGAAATCAGAAGGTATTACATATAGCAATGGGAAGAATTCATAACATTTTTGCAGCAGTTAAAATATATATTTATGTGTGTCTTGGAATGTGGTGTACAATGTGTTTCTTACTGTGTCATAGTGTCAAAATGTTGGGGAAACTATTGTTTCATTCCAATTTGTAACACTTCACACATTAATCTGGACAAAAGCTTAGGTTTATTTTGCTTTTATAAATTTTATAATTCACATTACTAAAGCATACAATGAAGGGTAATACATAATTAGCTGAAATTTTGTAGTCATTAAACATTGTTATGTGTTGCACAAATATAAAATGGTAATGGGTTGTGGAGTTTTAGACAATAATCTTAAACTTGGTTAAAAGAAAAAAAAATACTGGCATGGTGCCATGGCTCACACCTGTAATCCCAGAACTTTGAGGAGCCAAGATGGGTAGATTGCTTGAGCCCAGGAGTTCAAGACCAGCCTCAGCAACACGGTGAAAACCCATCTTATTTTAAAAAGGAAGAAAGAAAAGAAAAAAGAAAAAAAAATACCTATTTCTGTCTGGCATTTGAAAAATAGGGAACAGAAACTATGGAGTTTTCTTTATTAGGTGTTCTGATACCAGAAAAAGCAACCTGACATGGTAAGTAGATCACAGACTTCAGAATCTGACAGCCGAAGGCAAGAATCTCAGGTCTGTATCTACTAGCTCAGTAACCTTCAATAATTACCTCTCAGTCTTGGTTTTCTTGTACTTCACAAGGTTTTAAGTGTGGATATACATTAAGTAGATAGAACTATACCTCAGGTATTAGGTGGTCTTTTTGAGCTAGAAAACTTACAAAAAGTCAGACTGATTACATGGAGAGGGATAACCTCAAAGCCTATCTTGTACACTAAGATATACTCTTCATCCAATCATACCTTGAAGATAAACCAGATAGAGCTTTCTTGAGAATCTCAGGGGTTCTATCTGAGGATGGTGGAATTTCTGGAATATCAGAATCTATTCTGGAATCCAAATCTCCATATCGGTCATCAATATCTGTTTCCTAAAATTAGAAAAACAAATTACTTTGCAAAATCATATTTAAAAAAACACATGCTTGCCAACACATTCATTTATTGCTCAGTGTGTCAAATCTCAGTTACAAAATCTGAAACAAAGAAACAACTATTAACTTATCTTGAACATCTTAGCACTACTATACTTCTTTGTTAGGAAAGTTTGATTGCCTTTGCTAAAATCTACTGTTAATAATACAAAGGATAATTTTAAACGAAAGACACAAAAGAAGCTTCCATGTTTTCTAAATCAGAAATTTACCCCTAAAATCAGATAAGTATTGTTTTGCCACTTAACCAGGAGTTCATGGTGTTAGTTCCATGTAGATTCTGATCAGCTGTTAAGAGTCCCTTTATAAATCTGATTACAATTAAAGCATCAACAATAAGAGTAGTATCTCACCTGAGTGTAGCACTTCACATATATTTTTAAACATTTCAACTTCCATCATTTTTATTAAATCCTCAAGAGAGAATCTCAATTGAAGGTCATATAGACCTCATTTCTATTTTACTGATAGGCAAACTACGATCAATAGCATTTGGTGATGAGATTTTTTAAAAAGTTATTTAAAACAAAAACTGACTTCTGAGTGCATATACAAGAGCTGAGTGTGTATGCTGGAGATGGCGGGGGCTCTAGGCCTTTAGACAAAGGTGGTCACTGCAGAATTTCCAGGGATAGGGTTTTCAAAACAGAAATTTCATGTAATGCTCAGTTTTAAGCTATAAATCTCCACTGCCATGTTCTTCCCTCTCTTACAACCTCTCCCCTCTCAAGCCCCATCCTCTCCATCCTACCCTGGCAACTTTCAGGTATGAGTGATAAACACACAGACACCTTGGGAGAGTGGCTTACAGAGGAGGAAACTGGAGTGCGGGTGCTGAACTGGGCTAGAGAAAAGAGAATATTCCCTCAAGGCAAATACAAATAGATATTGAGCAGGATATGGAGCCTGAGAAAATCCGAAAAATAAGAGCGCCCAACAATTCAGAATGTTGAGGATTCTTAATCCAAACTCAGCCCTTATTAGCTCCAAAACGTCAGCAAACATCGCCACCACTTTGAACTGTTTCCTTATCCCTAAAATGAGGCATTTAGTATAGTGTCAAGGACTTAGTAAATTCAAATAAGCAGTAAGTTAATATTATGATTCAACCAAGTCTTCTAATTCCTCATTAGGAGGCTCACCAAATATAATTTTAGCCTTTGGGAGTATTTTCAGTTTTGATAAAGCACTAATAAACTTTAGTTTTTAGTTTAGGTTACTAACTTTTTAAGTATACAATTACAAAATTAAATGTCAATGTACCAGAAATGACAAATGAAATAGAAATGTCAAATTCCCACTGTGACAGAGAATCCGTTGCCCCTGAAGCTGCTTAAATAGCAAGAGATGGTAACTAACAAACAACCAGACAGAAAATCCCCTCAGAAAACGGCAGGGCACCTGCTGTCAGTCTGATAAGCCACAGAGCTTTGACATCTGGAACAAGGGAACACATCAGGTTTTTTTTTCTTTTCCCTCCCATTTTCTTTTCACCTTTAATAACCCAGAGTATTAAGGGGGTGGTATTAAGGTAGTGGGTATGGTGACTAATGAAGCAGGTCTCTAGGGCAATATCACCATCCACCAAAAAGAGCATGCGACTAGGAATCAGGAATCACCAGCCCTAATTCCACCTCAACCCTAACTAGCAGTGAGACAAAGGACAAATCACTTCCTCAAGGGAGCTCAGACACTGGTTTCCTTACTTATAAAATACTAAAAGCATCAGACTGGCATTCAAATTGTGCTCTGAAAAATACTGAAGTTCTCTGCAAGCCACTTCCAAGTCCACTTGGCAATAATGGTGATGTGCTGCAACTCTCCTCTCCAGAGAATCAACCAGGCAGTCCTGCTTTTATTTACATCATTTAAGCTCCTGATTTCTATTTTATACCCTTTAGAGAAAAACAAAATAAAAACTTATCTAGTAATTAAAGAATGCAAGATAATTTCTAAATAGTGGCATTTTGGAGCAATGTTACTCATCTACGAGAATAGCAGGGGCCCTTATTTTACTGTATTTAAGGTATACACTCTTACAAAGATGCTAGACTTGAAAAGGAAAACAAGAGTGTGAATGGAGATCAGGGGAAGGGAAGAAGTACTGTAATACTTTTAATGATCAAATAGAGCCATGCAGCATTGTGCACGTTGAATGAAGGTATTCATTCATTTATTTTATTTATTTGAGATGGAGTCTCACTCTATCACCCAGACTTGAGGGCAGTGGTGCGATCTGAGCTCACTGCAGCCTCTGCCTCCCAGGTTCCAGAGATTCTCCCGCCTCAGCCTCCCGTGTAGCTGGGAATACAGGTGTGCCCCACCACACTCGGCTAATTTTCATGTTTTTAGTAGACGGAGTTTCATTATGTTGCCCAGGCTAGTCTGGAACTCCTGACCTCAGGTGATCCGCCTGCCTAGACCTCCCAAAGTGCTGGGATTACAGGGGTAAGCCACCGGCTGAAGGTATTTAAGATGTTTACAAGAACCTAAAAATTCATAGCTTCTTTTTCTCAAGCTCATAACTTAATGATCCTCAACTTTCTATCTTGGGCCTGTGTTCTCCCACCACCACGTGATCTCGTGGACCACAGATGACTCCTGGTAAATTTGTCTCTAGCTTCCAACATGCCATCTCTAGGTGGTTTTCCACTGGCATCATCTGTAATTCAACATAAGCAAATGGACTTCTCTCTATTCCACATCAAAATGCTGCCTCCTCCTATAATTCCTGCTTTGGAGAACCATCAATCCAGTTAACCAATTACTCAGATAAGAAACTTGGGCATCAACTTAACACTTCACATCTGCTTCCTTTAACCAACACATTCAGTTGGCACCAAATCTGTCATTTGTCTTTCCTTCCATTTCTTTTTCTTTTTTCTTTTTCTTCTTTTGAGAGAGGGTCTTACTCTGTCACCCAGGCTGAAGTGCAATGCAGTGATCTTGGCTCACGGCAACCTTCAGACTCCTGGGCTCAAGCCATCCTCCCAATCCAGCCTTCTGAATAGCTGGGACTACAAGTATGCACCACCACCTGGCTAATTGTTTTGGCATTTTTCATAGAAATGGTGTATCACCATGTTTACCAGGTTGGTCTTGAACTACTGGGCTCAAGCGATCTGCCCGCCTAGGCCTCCCAAAGTGCTGGGATTACAGACATGAGCCACCCATGCCTGGCCTCCCTCCATTTCCATTTTCATTTACTGTACAAGCCTTGCTGAGCATCACTTTCTTCTGTCAACATGCCAGAGGCTTTTTTGGAGAATTTTATCCAAAATTTCTATGAAAACACAAAGGACGAGCGAAAACAAGTTTGAAAAAAGAATAAAGTTGAAGGACTTATATTACCTGTTTTCAAGAGTTCTTATGAAGCTACTGTAATCAAGACAATGTGGTATTGGCATAAAAGACAAAATGATCAATGGAAAAGAATAGTCCAGAAATAAACCCACACACATATGGTCAACAAATTAACAACAAAGTTGCAAAGGTAATTCAACAGACAGTACTGGAACAATTTTAAAAAAGCACCTTGATCCACACCTCACACCACATATAAAAATTAAATCAAAACAGATCATAGACATTTACATTAAGCTATAAATCTTCCATAAACTCTCTGGGACCTTGGTTGGTCAAAGCTTCTTAGTATAACAAAAGTATTGTCCACACACACACAAAAAATGATAATTATAACTTCATCAAAATACATTGATTGAGGCAAGAAAATAAAAATAGCTCAGAGCTGACTGAGCTATGTGAGGTATGTAAAGTTTATCAGGCCCCTGAGTATGGGACTTCAGTCACACCATGCAAGCCTGGGAGCAATTACTTAAAGGCATTTTGTTCCAGACTCACTGTCTCACTCCTTATCTTCCTAGAATCTGTGATACAAAGAATTACCTATAGTCAATCGATAGTTTATTTTTATGTAAATTCTTGTTAAATAACTTAGGAACTGCCTTTTCTTTTTTCCTGAAAAACTCACTTGTAGGCTGGCTTGGTAGCTCAAGACTGTAATCTCAACACTTTGGGAGGCAGAGGCGGGTGGATCACTTGAGGTCAGAAGTTCGAGACCAGCCCAGCCAACATGGTGAATACCCCATCTCTACTAAAAATACAAAAAATCAGCCAGGCGCAGCAGAGTGCACCTGTAATACCAGCTACTTAGGGGGCTGAGGCAGGAAAATTGCTTGAATCTGGGAGACAGAGGTTGCAGTTAGCCAAACTGCGCCACTGCACTCCATCTAGCCTGGGGCACACAGCAAGCTCCATCTAAGGAAAAAAAAAAAAACAACCTTGTAACTGCTGCTCATCAGAGTGTACATTCAGGGCAACTTGACCCTAAGCTCCAAAGTGGCCATCCTCAAGCTTTGGGCTCAAATAATCATATATTCGAAACTCATTATTTAAGGTTGACAGAGGATGCAAACGTATGCTGTAAACCTACCAAGACAAGGAAGGAATACCTCTGAGAGGATAAGTCACCTAGGTCCCTAGCTGGTATCCTTATCTTCTTTTATCCTTATATTGCGTATACCTTTTTGTATCAACCTCATATTTATTAAAAGCAGTATGCATTATTACAGATAGGACTACTATATGCAGAATTCCAGGGCACTATCTACATTGAACTCTACATGAATAGTGTGCCACAGAATTGTTCAAACCCGCAACTCTGAGACAGTTCAAGTACAAGCATAGTTTAAGTGGGTGAAAAAATAAAAAGCATAATTTTGAAAGACGAGTCTAACTTGGTTTCCCAAATCGGGATTTTTAGATACTGAGATAAATGTAACGTTCCAGATGGGCCTAATAAATATTCACTGACCCACATACAGCCCCACATTGTTTGTGAAATGACCTGCTTGAGACTGGAAGGTAGCAGAGAGCCAAACCTTAACTGTCAGGGTGTCAGATCCCACCTGGGCCAG